CCACCCTTACCTCCCCATTTGGGCTGTCAATGGAGATAATGCCAGCAAAACCCCTCGTCAAGTGCAAGGAGCCCTGCATCTGTTAATTATTCTTCTGAGGCCAAGCTGGACTTGCTTTGCTCTTCTCTTGTTTGCAAGGATCTGTTTTCTTAGCTCCTGTGCACTACAGATGGCTCAGGAAAGAGACCTGCGGTGTTGGAGGGCATGCCACAGCCTCTCCTGTCTCCACCAAGGTGACTTGACACCCTGCAGCTCTCCAACAGCCAGCTTGCCACGGATGCTCCTAACCTGGGCCCGGCTCCTTCATCGGTGCTTTCAAAGCAGAGGCTGCTGTTTGAGCCTTCTCCCTTGGCTCTGCACTGATCACATAGTTTGTCTCTGTCCAAAGGAAGGGAAGGATGTTCAGGAGCAAAATTCCCCCAGCCCACCACCATCAAAACAACTTAAAGAGGGGGGAAATCAACTAAAACAAAACAAAACCAAAAAAAAAAAAAAAAAAAAAACAGCAACCCTGCGTTTAGGAAAGAATGTGGGGAAGTCTAATCCTGCAGGCAGCATCAGGTTTCTTCATAATTGCATCACGGGCTGTGGGGGCAGGCAGCAGCTCAGGAGTGGGAGAGGGTCTAAGATTTCCTTTTGTTCTGTCGTCAGAAGCAATGCACCCTGGTCCCCTGCCACCGCAGGCTGGAGCCTTGGTTGCTGAGACTCTGGGAGCTCTCAATAGCCATCGATTCTGGATGTTTCCAGCACCCTGACACCACGGCTCATCTCCCTTTACGTTAATCATACAACACTGATGGTAAGAAGTATCATAGAGGTGAAGAAAACAGAGCTGTCTAAATTAGAGATATCTAAAAATCTTTTTAAAAAAATCTCTGTTTTGTTCTGCAACCAAACACCAGAACCATGTCTAGATCAAAACCAATGTCTGATGATCAACGACGCTAACTTAATATTAGCTGATGGTAACGATTTAAAACCTTTGAAACTTGGGGTTTTAGGACCGGTGTGCTTGTACTTAAAGGCAAAGGCAGGCACCAGGTAACTTGTGTTCTAACCAAAGGCAAGAGCCTGCCCAACAAACACTTGTTGACTGGCTGATGTTATAAGCTGACCCAGGAGACCTCAGACAACGACTTCTTTCTCAAAACACTGAAGCACATTGTTGGTTCCAAGACGCTCTGTCACACTGAGGGGGAGTAAGAGAAGGCCTGATGAAAACTGTCCACCAGTCTGGGGCTCAGGCTCAGCCATGAGAGCTGGAGCCTCACCACTCACACCTGCTTTTTCCTAAGCGCCTCGGTGGAGGTGGAGCCTAGCCAGGATGACGACGGGCCTGGCCCTTGGAGGCCCAGGCCTGAAGCAAGCACTGCAAGGAATCACCTTTGACTCCCCACTAAGACTACTGCTCTAGTTGCAAGGGACACTTGGCACACATTTTCGAGAAGGGAAAGATAAACTGGTCTGACTAAAATTCTGGAGGAAACAACAACAACAGAACTGCAACTGACTGGCAGAGCCCAGATAAGACTTCTACTTCATCCTCCCAAAGCTGGGATTCAGAGTTCCCAGCTCCACACGGTGGGGCATGTGTCTCCATCAGAGTGGGCTCTACCCAGGAAGGAAGCCCGGGTTCCTGACCCTTGATTTGTTTTCTGAAGCCTCCTGCCCGCTCTCCTCACAGGGCTCCAGGCTGGGCCTCTGCAGCTTCCGGGGGAAGGAAAAACTGTCCTGTTCTCTGTGGGGTCACGACCTTGGGGCTTTCCTGCGCTCACCTGACTTTTGACCTGCAGACCTGTCGCCACGGAGGCCCCTGCCTGCTGTCCTCTCTGACTCACCTCACCGGGAGCTGCCTGCTTCCTCTTTGGCCAGCTGTCGGTCTGACAAGCCAGCAGTAGCTGCTATGGCCTCTCAGGGATAGCTAGCTCTCTGTGGAGGGGCCGGAGGTTCCTCCGTTCTCCACAACCTCCACCTCGCTTCACCCACTGCAGAGCCCTCTCCTCACTCCGACGCTGCTACCGTCCTGTTATTTGGGAATCATAAACATGTCGGCCTGCCTTCCCACCCACATTTTTTTTTTATTCCCCCTTTGCCGGTAAGAGAGAACGCACGCGTGTGTCAGGCTGACCCAACTCCTTCCACAGGGGGAGTTTGCCTGAGCTCAGTCTCTAAATCCTCTTGCCTGACTCCTGCTTGAAATCCCGGGTACCTGCTCTTGGATTTCTATGGCGCTCCCCAAGCGCGGGACTGGCTGGGAGCCATGTGATATTGATTTGTTTTCACCATGGCAACAGCAAATTAAAACAACGAGCAAAGGCGAGGCAGGCCGTTAAGCAGTAAAGCTAGATGACCGGTGTATTTCACAAGCATCTTTTTCCCCCTCCCACCCAGTTTTCCCTTGAATCCACTCCACTTTCACAAATTCCACACACAAGTCAAAGTAGAAATAGCACGGGACGCTTTGGGCAGGAAGGCGCTACGGTGTGCCTACTGTTGGAAGAGGCCACTTCTCCCAGCTGCTGGGGCATTAGACCAAATCGATGGAGGAAATTCAAACAACCATACTTGGAAATTTCATCGGTTGGTTTAGGCATACACTTCCTCAGACAGTTCAACTGATAGAGACTGGAGGGTTTCGGTTTGTTTTTGTTTTTTGTTTTGTTTTTGTTTTTGTGGTCTTAATGTCTTAACGCCCCCAAGACATTGCCAACAATGTCTCCACACACAGGTTTCTTCCCTTTGTACTTTATACAGTTCATGGTACCAAGAGACAAACAACTTTTGTTACTGTTGCTTGTCCAAGATCCCTTCCCTAGAATTCTAGAACAAGAGATAGTGTAGCAGTAAGTATTACATATTCTATCACGAGAGAGAGAGAGAGAGACAGAGAGAGAGACAGAGAGAGAGAGAGAGAGAGAGAGAGAGAGAGAGAGAGAGAGAGAAACCGAGGCAGGCACTTGCTCACTCGCTCAAGACCACGTGGTGGGCAGGAGGAGGCCGGGCTGGTAGCAGGGACTCCGGGGAACTGCATTGTCCTCTAACCCAAATTCTTTCTTTTAAAGGCCACTCAATTAAACACCAACCTTTCCCCTGATCCTTACAATCAAGGGCGTCACTAGAGAGCCACCTGTGACACAGGGTTAACAGCAGGCACTATTATTGCCTTTTATTTCCCTTGAGCTATCTGCCCTAGGACACAGCGCTTTACCTATGGAAGCAGCTGTCAACCACCATCCAAGCAACCTTGAACTTGATAGCACAACCAGGGCCTTAGATGATGGTTCCAGGGACTGGGACCCCCTCCCCCCACCGTCCATATAGGTGGCCTTACAGAGTTGTACCACTGGAGACTTAGGCCAGAAAGAAAGTGGAATTCAGCTCCCCAAGGCTCCCCACGGCTTTTTACTAGCCGAGCCTGCAGAAAACCTGCGCAGACAGGCAGGTAGGAGAAGCCACCCTTTTTGGCCTGAGGAGGGGGATGGATGGGCTGTGGGTTTACTTGGGAAGACATAACTCAAGTCCTGCCAACTGGGCGTGTGAATGTTCCTGGCCTGGACACGGAGAAATATTCCTCTCCACGAGCCGAATAAAAGAACACACAGCAGAAATAGTTGGGGGATGACGTCAGGAGTTCTGGGCTAGTGTCCTGCACTTCTCCTTGAAAGTAGAAACAGTGGGTCTAGAAGAATCTACGTGGCATTGCCCTCCTTTAGAGGAGTGTTGCTGTCTCTCAGAATGGAGAGGAAGAAACTTCCCCTTATGCAGATTGCAAAAAAAAATGTCTCCTGCTTTTAATTTTTTGTTCCTAGTTGTCGCCTAAGATACATATGCCCTAATAGATATTTTTTCTACTTAATCTTTGTCTTTCAGAGGGACAGTAAGACTTTTAGAAGAATGTTGGAACATTCACGGGGGTGGTGGTTAGGCAAGGTTTTCTTTTTCTTTTTCTTTCTCCTCTGCTTCAGTGCTTGCTAACTATTCTAAAAATGTTACACATTTATTGTAAACACATGCTTGCAAGGCCTAACAAAAAAACCATGGTTTCCTCATGCCTGGCAGAAATTTAAAACGGAAAAAAAAGCAGAAAGAATTCTTTAACACAGAGAGATCCTTTCCTTCTCCTGGGCCAAGCGTGTTAAAAATAAATCTGCTCCAGCCTTTCTAGCCACTGCTTCTGGGCAAGAAAGTTGATCTGGCTGGGCATAGTGCGAGCCCAGCTTTAATCGCCAGCCCTACTCTCACTAAATTATTCTGCTGGCTGTGTGTTCTCATTAAAAATGCATACAGGTCAGGTAATTGCAGTAAGCGTTATTAACCCAGCTTCACTTTTGAATATAATGGTCCCACTTTTAAGCTGGAAACAAAGACAGAGGCTGCCAGGAAAAGCAATGTAAACACTGAAGTACAGTGTCTAAGACGAGCCAGGAAACTACCTCCGGCTTGGTGGCTAAAATGTGCTCTTCTGAAAGTCAGTTAAAGCCACTGCCCTGTAGCACCAGGGTGGCCCCCAATTTCTAAGAAACAGACACGTTTTGGTCCCAAACGTTCAACCAGTGATTATTTACCATGATTTTTTTTAAAATTCTTAATTTCAAGTGTGTTTTCAGAGAATAGGATTCATATAAACTTTATTTATAGCTCACCAGAGCAGTAAAAAAAAAAAGATTCTCTAAGAAAATATTAGCCTGGATCTCTCAGATAATTAAAAAAAATAATAAACGTGTCTGTGCTTTAAATAAATAAATAAACCCTCGGTTTTATGCCTCACCCAAACGGGGCGGCGTAGATACCAGCTTTGCCATTTCTTGTTCTCAAACCCAAATGTTACGTAAAACTCCAGGGTTTTCCTGCGAGTATTCCGTTCGAATTAGTGGAATGCGGTCTCCTTGGCTTCCCTAAGCACACACATGGAATGCAGCAATACTGCAGCAAACTCTAACATAAAAAGAGAGAGAGAGAGAGGAAAAAAAAAAGAAGAAAAAAGAGGGGGGTCCTCCTACCTTGTTTAGCTCTGCTCGTCCTCCCCATGTACAGTAACCCCAAGAGCATCTGGCAGGACCGGGTGGCCGCGGCTTCTCCACCGCATCATGAGGAAGCGAGGTCCATGCAAATAGTTCTCCTCCGTCCGTCCCTGTGTATTGTACTCTGCGAGCCGCCGGCGGTGGCTGGAAAATTTTACCTTCAGATGATGAAGCAAAGACAGTCTAAACTCTGTTGCTGTGAGCTGCAGCCCTTCCTCCCCGCAGGCCCCGCCCAGGCGCGGCTAGCCAATCGCGGGCCAGCTCGTCAGTCCTCCTCGTCTGAAACTGGTCCTCATAGGATGACTGACACAGCAACACGGCGCAGGCAGGGTCTGAAAACAGTGCGTCCATACTGATGGAAGAGGGATCTCCCTCTCTGGAGAAGGCAGGCACGGCACCCAGGCAGAGCGAGCCACACATCGTTGGCAGAGCACAGAGAAGGGGTAGCTAAGAGACAAACACGCTCCCAGACAGACAGCCCAGGGCATCGTAAACACTCCGGGGAGCACGAAACTCCTAAGATGGCCAGGAGACGCAGTTGCACCCCAAACTGGAGTCCTTACGCCTTTGACAAAGCATATGGATATAGACATATATGTATATATATATATGTATGTATGTATGTATGTATGTATGTATGTGTATATATATATGTGGAAAAATATATGTATACATATTCTGTTCGAATTAGTGGATATATATTAATAATCCGACGTTTGTTATGGAAAGGGATACCTCACGAGACATGTGCAGGCGTGTTCCATGACCGAGGATGGCTGTAACCAAGTCCGAGGGCACATTCAAGACCAGAACAGGCTTGCAGCCCAGGCACACAGCTATTCTGGAGAGCAGCTGTCATTGGAGTGGTTGCTTCCTGGAACCCATGCATCTTCCGTCTGAGTGTCCAGAGCATCAGGGGCCTTAATGGGGAGATGGTGAATGACAAGATCTGGCATCTGTACCTCAAGCGTTGAGGCTGTTGCCTGGCACCCACCGGAGGAGTGGGTGTGCCATAACCGACTTCGATGCCATTTGGTCAACACTCATCCGCTGGCCCACAGTGTCACTAAGGAAGGCAATGATACCTGCTGGAAGTCAATTACTGCTGTGCACACGTGGAGTTGGATTAAGGGGGCATCCTCTGGTCTCGGCCCTACAGGAGATGACCCTGGGATTCCCCCGAGAGAAGGGGGGGGGAATGTAAAGGGTTATTTTCCCCCAGTCAATAGCATTTCGGCATGCTTTGAAAACAAAAACAAAAACATATGGCATTTAGAAACACAATAAGCACACATTTTCCTTCCACAAAACACAACATTTTGGATGTCAAAAATCAAGTATGATGTCCCTGTGACTAACTCCAGGCAAGAACAAAGACCTAACTCATCTGAAAGATTGAACCTAACCCTATTTTTTTTATAAGCACCTGTTCAATGCATCGTCCACAATAGAGCAAAAGGGTGGAATGTAATAATTTTTCTTTTAATTTCCCAGTTGCAGCCTTAAGACACAGCATTTCTTGTTGTTTGTGGACTAATTTTCTCCAGTAGGCCATCATGATTTACTCCTCTTTATTTTAATACTTGATATTTACTCTCATTCCCAGTCAATATCATTATTTGTAGGCTTTGGTTGAGTCGGTTTTGTCTTTTTGTTTTCTGAACCTTTAAATTAGGCCCATTCAAACAGGTGGGGATTCTTTTACAGCATCAACACTCCGACAGCACTCACACCTGGCCTGTGTGACTTAAAATTACCCCCTTTCCCATCTCCTCTTGCTTCTGGCGTGAAATCCCCAGTCTCCTAATCTTATTCCTTAAACTTTAGCCCCCACCAAGGCCCATTCTCACTCAAGGAAAATTAAGACGCTTAGCATTTTCCTCCAAGCTAGGCCAGAGCTCTGACCTATTCCCTGCACGATACAAAAGCTAATTGATGGCCTCTGGGATTCAGCGCTCCTCAGCCCTGGTCTTCCCTGTTGCCAGACAGGTTTTTCTGAAGTCGAGTAAAGTCATGTCCCTTCTACACTCAGACCTGTCCCTCCATAAAACCCAAATTACAGACTTTCAAGGTCCTGAGAAATGTGCCCCCCCATTTACAGTCGACTTCCCCTCGGCTGTCTTCGCAAAAGGGCCCTCCCTTCTCTCTGCCTCGTGTGTCTGACTTTCTTCACCAAGGGTGTAGACCTCAGCTCACCTGCCATTCCTTTAGTCATGCCGTCCTCATCCACAATGGCTTTCTCTGATGTTCAAAGGGCCTTCTATTTTAAGCCCTTTAACAATGCAGCCTTGTATAGCTAGCTTGCCTGAGTTGATCTTGCCATTTCAGAAGGCAAGGCCCGTGTCCCACATCAATTAAGAGAGTGTGCATGAAACATCTACTCAAGAGACTGGTGCTCTAGAGCTTGGCTACATGGTGGCTCCCCTCGCGAGAATTTCTGTGTTGTCCAAGCGGCCACACACACAAGCGTGCGGGTTATTTGGGCCACAAGAAATGACATCGCGCTTACTCGTCTGCACAAGCCAGAAAAACCTGGCGCTTTTTTTCTTGGCTTTCCTTCCCAACCACAACTTGAAATGCATTGTCAAAGTCTGTCAAGTTTAATGCCTGGATATTTAGAACATTTTACTTTGCTCCTTCTCGGCCCGTGTCCCTTTGTCCAGGTGACTGACATCTGACATCCTTTGCCTTAACTCTTGAAATAATAGTTGCTCCCCTGAGTGTTGTCTTAACTCTCTCTCTCTCTCTCTCGTTCTGTCTCTCCTCTCTCTCCCTCCCCCTCTCTCTCTGTCTCTGTCTCTCTCTCCCTCTCCCTCTCCCTCTGTCTCCCCCTCTCCCTCTGTCTCCCTCCCTCTGTCTCCCTCCCTCTCCCTCTCTCTCTCTGTCTCTCTGTCTCTCTCTCCCTCTCTCTGTCTCTGTCTCTCTCTCCCCCTGCCCCTTGAGAAGTCACAATGAGATCTGCTTCTGTGGGCCAGGAGGACAATCCTCAACAGATGCAGACCACGCATGCACCCTTCTCTCAGAGTTCCAGCATTCAGTTGGGAGAAACTACGTTCCTGTTGTAAAAGTACGGGCTTTATGGGGTTTTGTTCTGGCAGCAGTCCTACACTGGGCTCCCCCAGAGCCCATGGGAAGCCAGCGGTGGCACTATGCATCTTCCAACGTAGGACTAGATGGTGAGTGATGATGGGGGAAGCTAGAGGGCCAGCTAGCCCGTAAGCCCCGAGTACACAGCACCAAACAGCCAGAGACACTGTTCCAAAAAGACAGGAGACTGACACGCAAAGCTGTCCTCAGGTGCCCACATGCATGGTACGACACTCACATAAATATACTGAACACACCTCCCTACAAATTCACATGAACATGTCACTCACTCACACACACACACACCACATGCACACACATGCACCATACACATACCCTCTACACACATATACACACACGGTACACACAGTAAAAACATATGTGACATAAGTATTTACGTATATAATCTTTGAATTGCTCTGAGGGGTAAAACACATTAAGTTCTCCACCTGTCTTCAAGGAGTCTGTGGAGTCTTTGCCTAGTCGGAGCCCATCTTTTCAGGGAACCTTTCCCTGACCCACAGGCTGAACTTAGGTCCACCTGTTGTTTTCTCCCACAGCCCTGTGAACCAGGGAGCCAAGCGTCTCAAATTCTACGGGGCCTGCAGATCCCCAGGGGATCTTGTTAAAGTGCAGATCCAGTCTTGGGAGTTCCTGGGTGGATACGGAGACTCTGATTTTCTAACAAGCTCCCAGGTGAGCGCCCCTGCCCACGACTGCTCTACAAGCAGCGAGATTGTACAGACGCTGTTCGCTCCGCCCGCCGCTCTCTGCTATGGAGTGCGGTGATAGCATTAGTCTGCTTAGTTGTTATTTCAGGTTTACCTCCCTGTCAGCTCAGGAGCATCCGAAGCCAGCGAGTTCTCTCCGATGTCTGATCGCTCTGTGCCTGGCACAGGAGGTGATCAAGGACAGCGCCTATTAAAGGAGCATGCTGATTAAATCCAACGCACCATGGAATCAAGCTGCATTTCCCCTTTCTCCGCTGCTTCTTTTTCCTTCTTCCTTCCTTTTTTTGTAACGTAAGATTCTTGAAGTATGTAAAAACACTGAATTGATACGGGGGGGGATAGTTAATCTTTATTGATGCCTTATGTTAAGGAAAAAGCAGAGTTGGCGAGAAAACAAACATAAAACACATCCAGATGTGTGAGGGCGCAGTGGCTAGCACCTGCCTGCAATCTCAACACTCTGAAAGCAGATGCAGGATGTTATGAGTTCGAGGCCAGCCTAGGCTACGTAGCAAGATACTATCACTAAACAGAAAAACAAGGGCCGAGGATATATTTCCGCAGTAGGGAGCTTGACTCACACACATCAGGTCCCCTGACCAGCCCCAAAGAGAAAAGATTGTGTTCAAAGTAAGGAGTGAAGAGAACTACTGAAATAAAAGATTTGATTTGTCCAGTAGCAGTTCCAAGCAGCAATGGGTTTTAGATCAGCATGCCCATGTAAATACAAGAACGGTAGAGAAACCAAATGTAGAATAACTCAAGATGATCCCTGGATATAGTGACGCCTGTCTGTGATCCCCTGACCTCTAGGCCCTCACTCGAATGTCCCGGAGATCACTTATCTTCACCTTGTCTCTCACTACAATTACTTTGACAAATGTTTTTTGGCTGAGTGAGTTTTTCTTCTATTGAAAGGCATTTCTCTCTCTCACACTTCATTTCCCTCTGATCTTGGAAGGGTGGCAGTTTGAATGATAGCACGTGTTTGATCCAGTTGGTTCCCCGGCTGAGGGCACTGTTTGGGGAGGCTGAGGATCCTAAGAAGAGTTATAAGAAGATGTGCACATGTGTGGGACAGGCATTTAGGGTTCATCGCCTGCCCACACTTCCTGTTCTCTCTCTCTCTCTCTCTCTCTCTCTCTCTCTCTCTCTCTCTCTGTCTGTCTCTGTCTCTCTCTCTCTCTCTCTCTCTGCTCCCTGTGCATGGATGAAGATGTGATCAGCCGGCTTTCTGCCCCTGCTGCCAAGCCTTCCTGGCCATGGTGGCTTTTGTCCCTCTGGAACCACAAGCTAAAATAAATCCCGTTCTTCTTTATGTTTGTTTTTGGTCGCATTTTTACCACAGCACCAGAACGGTAACTAATACAAGAGGCGAGCGTGGTTTTCTTGCCAGTT